ATACAATCAAATCAATGTATGTACAGGTTCCTAGTATTTGTAAGTCGTGTTTAGTTTATTTTTTCAATATGTATGCATGGTTTCAAAGTATATATAGATCATGTCGGCATAGTCTCCAATTCTGTGCAATTAGAGCTTCAGAGTAGTAACATCTCGTCATTAGTAGCATTTAGAAACCTTTAAGTAAAGCTGTTGAGATTCAAAGTGCTCGTCCTTGTATCTTTATAAAACAATTGGGAGGCAATTGTCAATTGCCATTTTTTAAAATAAAGCTGTCGAGATTCAAAGTGCTTGTCCTTGTATCCTTGCTCTAAAATGAATGATTGCAGTATGATATATTTAGAATCTTACATTTTTGTTCGGGGAGGACCATGGAGTGAAATATTCTACATTTGCTCCGAATCAAATGTTGGCCTTTCTAGTTAAAACATGTTCATGCATAAAAATCAATACATGTATCAACCAAGTTCAGAACGAATAATTCTAATGTCAGGCGAGATATACAGTGTCGCCTTGATGCTCTGTGTGGCCTTTTGGTCATGTTTACATGTTTACGCGAGGAGGCGTCCAGAGCACGATTAAGTTGACCGCATAGAAGTGCGTTTTTCTTTCTTAAACGAATATCTCAAGTCGTATATTTTTACATATATTTATACAATACCGGGCCCATATACAGATCTAACTTTGCAGTTAACAGATCGACTTTTCTTTAGCAGCAGACCCACAGAACCCACAAGAATTCGTAGATCTCATTCCTCCATGAAATATATAAGTTTTTGTAAATGTTTTTTGTCTAATTGAATGTGAAAATAAGGTCGTAATTAGCATTATCTAGTTTAATTTATGCTTTTCTAAATTCAAAGGACAATATTTTCGAGTTAAATTCCTCTCCTTTGTCATGCCTAATTTCAATAGTTCCTCAATAATTATGCAAATGACCTCATTAACATAATGCATGCATAGTGGTGTTAACCTTTATGTAACTTACACATGTCACAAGGTTTCGGTTCGGAGTTTAAATCTGACCAGAGTCTAAGTAAGTGCGCAGTAAATCGCCGGAAACGTGACTTTGTATGATATGTTTTGGCCGCGATATCCCTGAAATCGTAATATCTGTATACATATATTTGTATTTTCTGAAAAGCCTGTTAGTTGTAGCCTTTATAGGTGGCGTAATGTTGGTGTTCCAGCGAAGACTTCCTGGTATTAGTCCGCGCGGATGGTTATGCGGCCTTTTCACCTGACCGCCGGGATGGTACGTTCTATATGCGTTGTGGGTGTGTTCGGGCCATCGATTTTAATTAAATTCAAATTTTGGAAACATTAGGTTCTGAGTTTCTTCGAGTACTATGCCGTTACCCTGGGAAAATTCGTTTTTTCCATGCAGCCATGGTTGGAAATGACGACAAAAATGACCCCTTATTTAAAAATGTACTTTGATGTGCCTTATTTACCCCTAAATAAATTGGGCGCACAAAATATCAATCAAGTGTATTGATAAGCGGCACGGCACCCCTTTCCACCAAAAGAGTGAAAAATTCCGACCCGCGTTTAGTACAGTAATGACAGCCCGTCGGGCTGAGGGTGTCAAATTGCTCCGAACACGGAAGGAAACTCCGGTCTGAGACCACAAGGTATAAAATTCACATCATTCGCCAATAAGGGGTCACAAAATTTTCACATTAATTATGCAAATTAGGTCATTATTTGCATAATTGATATCTCTTGATGTTCCGCCTGCCACAGATTAAGTAGATTACATGTATAGTGGTGTGGTGTGGTCGTGTGGCTCAACGGCAGCGTCCTCGAGTCGAAACGAAGAGTTCAAGTTCTGCCATTCCACCAATCTTGTGCCCTTGGAAAAGGCACTTTACACGACTTTCCCCATTAGACTCAAGTAGAAATGAGTATTGTCTGTCCAGCATTTGTTTCTATGTGCGGGACACAACACCAGGAACAGCTGCCTCTGTTCCGTGTTGTATTTCAATGTTGCAATTTCAATAAATCAAATTAAATCAATCAACTAGCAGTACAATTATATAAAACACTGTAATTATAGAATGTCATTAATTATGCAAATTAAGTCCTCATTTGCATAATTTGCCCTTAATTATGCAGCTCTCTCAGCTACCTACATACCAAAAAATGTTGAAAAGGAATTCTTCCTATCTGGACTTTTAAAGTTTTTACCAGAAACTAACCTGCAGTTCCAGAACAAGCTGCTAGGAAGACCAAACTTACACCACTTATTTCTGACAGAATAAGCTATCTGTCATTGAAAAATCAAGACCATAAAATATTCAGGACAAAAGATACAAAAACCGGAAGTTCTGCTGCAGTATCAAGGTCATCCAAGAGGAGGCCCATATTTGACCTTAACCTTCGTCTTCAAAAAAATGCCTGTGCAATTCCTAGAATTCTTGCAAACTGCACACAATACTGTACCATTAGGCTCCCCCCTGAGGCGTCGCCAAAAAATGAACAAATGCCTGGGGGTATTTGGCTTCTCTACCTTCATGTCAAATTTTATGTCATTTGGCCCAAAAAGGAAGAAATTGAATCCATTTAACGTAATAGCAGGAGAAGAAGAAGAAAAAAAAGAGAAAGCAATATGTCTTCACCACTTTGTGCATTTTAAAAACAGGTACACCCAACTACATTCTACAGGTATAGTATCAGTTGCCTATCAGTGAATGTGAAAAGGATTAGAGAGAGATAGACAGAGTGAAGAAGGTCCATTTCTGAATGGTGTAAAAGCCAGAAGACAGACATTGTATTTCTACAGGAAACTCACATAACTACAGATGTAAGGAAAGACTTTAAGGAAGGGGGTTCTATTCTTATAGAACAAGCAAGAGCAAAGGTGCTTAGTTTACTTTGGGAACAAGTGCAGTGTCAAAATCTCACAAGTTATTGGTGAAAATGAAGGAAATGGAAGAAAATTATTGATAAATTGTCAAATTGGTGACTGAAACATATCTAACTTTGATGAACATTTATGCTCCAAATAACACCAACGAAAGAAACATATAATGAACCTTATAAAATGGATTGATCATAACAGAATCTGCACCATACATGAGAGTGAAGTGATACCTGGTGGAGATTACAAGGTTGTTTTAAATTATACAAGTGGACAGTAAAGGGGGGGGGCGATGCACGGAACGAAGCCCATCACGAGCCTTAAGAAGTTTTACTCAATCTCTTGAACTATGTGGCATCTGGAAGAAAGAAAAAAAGTATACGAGACAGTACACCTACAGAGACAATTTTCACAAAGTCTCAAGTAGGTTAGATTATTGGTTTATCCCTTGGACCATTATTAACTCTGTTATAAAATGTGACATTAGACCAAGCATTAGAACGGATCACAAGGCAATATTTCTTAGAATATGCCCAACCGTGAAAGAAAAAGGACAAGGTAACTGGAAACTCAATAAGGAAGTGTTGAAGGATGAAGAATACTGTTAAGGGATTAGTAAGCTGATTGAGAGAACAAAAGACGAAGACAGTGATTTACCTCCAGGTTTGATGCTTGAACTATGATATATTAGAATAAGGGAGTTTTCAATTTCATATCGTAAGAATAGAACATTCGAAAAAAAGAAGTGGGTTACAGAATTAACAAATAGAATAATTACACTAACTCTGTATTTAGAAATTGAAGGAAAATATGGATAAGTAGTCAAAGATGAACTCAAAAGAGCAAAAATGCAACTCGGAAGGCATTATGAGGAAAAGCCAAAGGAGCTGATATAAGATCAAGAGCAAGATGGAAAGAAGAAAAGTGTGCAAAATTCTCCCTTCCTTTAGAAAAAAATGCTACTAAATCACAGACATGTTAAGATTGGGAGGAAAAGAAATTACAAACCAAAGTGAGATTCTATCAGAAGCTGTTAGATTTTATACGGGCCTGTATTAACAAGACAACCTTGATCCTGATTAGATGAAGAAATACCTGTCAGATATAGAGTTATATTATACATTAAGTGAAGATGAGAAAGAAGAAATAGATTACCATAGAGGAATGTGAACGCACTTCGGAAAATATATAAAAACAAGAATTCCGAGATTTCATACCTCCATGAAATATGGGCTTGATATGTAAATGTAAATTTCCTCTTTAATTATGCAAATTACCTCCGCATTAACATGATATATGCATCGTGATGTATGTTAACTTTTGATTAACTTACAGATGTCCCAAGTATGACATTCCCATTATGCACCATTAAGAAATCATAGAATTTTTGCATAAATTATGCAAATTAGGTCATTTGCATAATTAGTATCTGTTGATGTTCTGCCTGCCATAGGTTACATACATTACATGTATGAAAGTAGTATAATGTAAAACACTGTAATCATAGATTTTCCTCATTAATTATGCAAATAAAGTCCTCATTTGCATAATTTGCATTTAATCATGTACATCTGTCTCTCAGCTACCTACACACCAAAAATTATGAAAAAAATGTTGTTCTTATCTGGACTTATTGGCTTTTAAACATTTCGGCAGAAAGTGCCCTGCAGTTCCAGAACAAGCTGCTAGGGGGACCAAACTCACACAACTTATTCCTGACAGGAAAAGCAATCTGTCACCAAAACATCAAGACCATAGCATGTTCAGGACAAAAGATACAAAAACCGGAAGTTCTGCTGCAGTATCAAGGTCATCCAAGAGGAGGCCCATATTTGACCTTAACCTTCGTCTTCATAAGACTTACCAGCATACCAAATATCATCACAATCCATAAAGACGTTAATATATGAAGATATGCTGACTACAAATGTTCGGAAACACACACACACAAACAGAGACGCACAAAAACAATACCTCCATTTTTTATGAAGGTAAAAACACGCATCCGTGACACCCGAAACATGACCTCCTTGACGGAGGTGATGATTGTTTAACTTGGAATCAAAAAACTATATATATATATATATATATTGGACATTGGGCAAACCACCTTTACAAACTGCTCCAGCATCTTCACTGTGGTCACAGTTATGTAATCCCCATCCTCTGTGTCCACAGTCAGAAATAGTTGTCTCGGAACCATCGCATCCTACATAGTTCAGCCAGATCTGCCCAGACCCTTGCCCGAAGGCTGCCCTTACACGAACTCCTGTTGCACCGGGATATCCAAGATGACGACAGACCACGTGGGCGTCTTTCAGCTGCCAATCATCGTCACAGACGGTCCCCCATTGTCCGTCATGGAACACCTCCACTCTGCCTTCATTGGAGGAATTTCCACCCACAAGTCGGATATCTAAAGGCAAAGAAAAGAAAAATTACTAATTACTAATTTTACTGAATAACAGTCCAGGTTGTATGTTCAGTCATTGTTCCTCCTATAAAGTACACCCTGTGCAAAACGGACTAGAAACCCCGACACCGAGAGCATGTACTAACAGCCCCTTTCCACTGCAGGCTGCGTCCGCTGAGCGCGACACAATATTTGACAGATCACTCAACGATTTTTGGAGACAAAGAACTATTTTTACGTATTGTGTGTTTTACTGTCAGTTGCACTTTGGCTGAATTCTGATCAGGTTGTTTACAATATAAATTATTAATAGTAGGGAAATACAAATTACAATCATATCGGAATCTACATATTAATATATCACTTTGGTTCGAAAATGAGGTATTTACAATCTTACAATCGTACAAACTATGATAATCTTACGTCTTACAAACCTTATATCACTTAAGTTTTAACATACAGGTAGAAGATTAGTCATAATAAATGAATAAATAAATAAATCATCGTCGTAAATCAATTCCTTTGTCACAATAAAGTAGCGGTCAGTAGTACATGCGGTGCTATTACACATTTGTGCTGTTTAGGAGGGATACCATGTAAGGGATTGGGCTTTTTTTGTATCCGTCAGTCCTAGTTGTGATAGTGTATATGAGCTAAGAAGTTCTTGTTTGTCTGCCGCTAACCTCGCCACGGAGAGGTGGAGGCCAGTTTCTGAATTTTACAGATGTCACAAGTTGTCTGGCAAACTTATAACACAGGTCGCGGCGGCGATTGTCAAGGGTTGGTAAGTCAAGTGTCCGGCAGGCCTCAGTGTAGCTTGTATAATCGGAGCCAATGATTGTCCGGCAGGCCCGTTTTTTAATAGTTTCAATCCTTCCGCGTTGTTGTGTAGTTAGACCTGCGTGCCAAACCGGTGCAGCGTACTCAACAGTAGGACGGACGAAAGTCTTGTGACAGGTGAGGAGCTAGGAGCGAGAGAGGTTGAACTGTGTCAGTTTACGAAGCATAAAGAGGCGTTGGCTTCCATTCTTTACTATATTGTTGACCTGCGTGTTCCAGCCAAGGTCAGCCTGGACATACATTCCGAGCAGTGGACCCCGACGTGGACCTCGGTCAGTGGTACTCCTGCGATGGACAGAGGTGGTAGTGGAGGGGGAGTTCTAGTAAAGAATACACGTAGTTCGCTGCATTTCCTGGGGTGTAATTTCATGTTATGTGACACTGCCCAGTTATGTAGGTCATTAAGATCAGCTTGGATGGTGGACGGAGTTTGTATGTTTCGGCTTTCAGCAAGATTTAAGTCATCAACAAATTTCCAGTGTTTTGCAGATACATCTTCGCTTGCAGTGTTGATGTTTGCTAGGAATAACAGGGGACCTAGAACGGTTCCCTGAAGAAGGCCGCGCGTGGTCGTTATCCAGTCAGAAAAAGTACATTTGTAAATCACCCTTTGTTCCCTGTCAGTAAGAAAGGAGCAAACCCAACGTACGATTGAAGGTCGGAGGCCAATTGCAAGGTTCAGGAGACTTGTGACAACGTGGAGGTGCTGTACCCTATCAAAGGCCTTAGCGAAGTCTGTTGTTATTAGACTAGTGATGGTACCACGTTGGTCGGATGTTCTCGCAAGCTGATTGATAGTGTCAACTAGGCAATGTGTAGTCGAGTGTCCCGGGAGGCAACCAAACTGTTGTGGATCAATATCATGCTTAATGTCAGAGTACAGTCGTTGTGATATAAGTCCTTCGGCAACCTTATCTAGTGTAGGTGTGAGTGAAATAGGTCGTAGCTCATCGATGGATGGCGGGTGGGTTTTTGGTAGAGGAACGACGTTTGCCTGGCGCCACTGCTCGGGAACGTACCCCTCCAACAGTGATGCATTCAATATTGACGTTAGCGGTGTGGCAACCTCGTAGGCGAACTCCTTGATGATTTTGTTTGGTAACCCATTTGTCTCGCCAGCGCTTCTGACTGTCACCGTAGATAGAAACTTATTTATGGCATCAGCAGTGGCCTTGTAATCCTCAGGGGGCGTTCCCTCAATGTTGAGCGTCCTTTGTTTGCAGTATTGGCCATTGTCTTGTCATCTTTTCTTATGTTTAGCTCAATGACCTGGACCATTCGGCTGTCAGTGTGGCAACTGGTGAAGTAGTAGACAGTACCAGTTTGAGTGTGGATTCCGAAACAAGGACAGGTGTGTTTGCTTGGGTTTGGATGGTGTTCGGCACCAAGAACAGGTGTGTTTGCTTGAGTCTGGGTGATGTTCAGGTCATTCTGAATTGTTAGTGTGTACGTGAACAAGGCACGCACCCAAACGTTACAAATGAACGATGAATGAAGCTTTGTCTCGTGCTTTATGTGCCCAGCCAAATCCAACACAAACAAGAAGCCACAGGTGACAATTCTCCGTGAAGTATTATATATTGCAACAAAAAGAAGTAGCCATTGGCGACAATTCTCTGTGAAGTGTGATAAATCGAACATAGAAAAATGGTTTAAACGCGCGTCGGCTCAGTCATCTTAAGACGCAACAACCAATCAGAGATGCGAAATGCCGACACGTGACGCGGGATTTGCATACAGTCTAAACAACGGGGAAGGGCGCGCGATGCCCGAAATATTTTTGCGTCAATATTCAGCGCCGTGTTTCAAGAGATTAATACCGGGAAACAATTGCTGTTCTTGTTTTGAACGCATAAACATGCATTTACGCTAATGTAGTATGATTCAGGGTTACTTTTTTTTTTACCTGCCATGGCCAGATTATCTAAAGATGTGTGTATTGTGTGTACAATCTACAGAAAGAGAAATGTACATCAGGTCCGATCATCCGATTTTCACGTTTCGGTTTTTTGGACTCGGTTCATGAACGTATTTTGGTTTGGCTCCTGGAATGTGCTCCCGGGACTGTCTCCCGGGACTGTCTACAGGGAACACTCGCACATTCGCGGTGTATCAGGACAGCGCGACTGGTCGGCATTAGCGCAGTCCCTGCAATTAGTAACAGTTGCACATCAATCCGGCCGAAAGCATGATTGTGTAACACAGGCTACTTCTTCATATACCGGCTCATACTACAAGACGCCTTTACAACTAGCAAATCATAAAATTACCCGATCTACTAGTATGTGCGGTTTACCAGCCCCAGACCACATCCGACCACGAGGCGGAACACATTGATGGGTTGCTCAAAAATATTGTCCATGTTTCCAAAGAGCTGCTCCACAACACACGCCGCCACTAGGTCGCCACAGCCGACCAGTTCGAAATCGATAGGATTACGTCATCGGTATTTACATTTCGTAATGCTGAACATTTCCGTCCCCATCACCCAACATAAACGGACGAAAACATTTCAAAGAAATGGGGATGTTTCGAAAATAAGCATTTACTCCAATATCAAAACAGCTACGGTAAAAATAAAAAGAACGTGCATCATTCCGGACATAATGCCACACCACATGCGAAATTACACAGAAATGCGACGTACGGAAGAATGCGTTTTGGCTGCGAACATCTTCCAAAAAACTTGCCATCTCTTAACCATGGGCAAAAACATCTGGAACCACTTATCAAAACCACCCCGTATCTGCATGAAGTTCCACCCCCCCACTGCTATTCCAAACTAACGCGTTTTTCTGGACCATTCCAATTCGCCTCGTAATTGTAGGGGTGCGTCTGCAATATTACATTGACCGCGAAAGCAGCAACGGCAAAAATACACATTCGTGCATCAACACGGGCATGCCCGCAGACGGCGTATAAAATTGCGTGCCGATTACACAAAGAGAACCCAGTGTTTTGACTGCGAACACGAAAAACCAGCCGTTCACAACACTCCGTCTCGGAGGTCCTGACCTCCTTCACGGAGTAACAAGAAGGGCCCTAAAAAACAAGATGCCTAGATTAGAAATATACTAAGAGACGACAAATGTTAGGACACAAATTGGATGAGGTGACACAGTGTAACAAGCAAGTCTCGGAGGTCCTGACCTCCTTCACGGAGTAACAAGAAGGGCCCTAAAAAACAAGATGCCTAGATTAGAAATATACTAAGAGACGACAAATGTTAGGACACAAATTGAATGAGGTGACACAGTGTAACAAGCAAGAAGTCTTATTCATCATCAAAACAGCA